CCTTAGGGGGGAAGCTGGGGAGGTGGCGGGGGGGGGGCGGGGGAGGGAGGTGTGTGTCTGTGTGAGGACACGGGTCCCTGCGGGGACACTGCAGGTGGAGGGTCCTCAGGAGAGTCCTGCCAGCTTCTGCCAGGTGCCCGGCTGGCTGGGCACACTCGGGAGACCCTGGCAGCACAACTGAGAAATGGTTTGTGGAACACAAAGGAGAATTAATGGATCATGAGAACATGTGCTTATTACTAATTTTTTTAATGATCCATGCTTTCCTGAGTAAAGTACACAAATCTCACAGAAGTCTGTTTAAAGCACCAGGCCTCTACCTCTTAGACTCACTGCACCCGGAGGGCAAACCGCAGCCCAGCTCAGAAGCCGTTCTGGTGAAAACAGAACAACGTGTGTGTGAAAACCGTTTTCCTGATACTCTACCACTGGAGAGTTGCATCCTCGCAAATGGGAAGTGGCCTCCTCCAGGGCGAGGGGGAAGGATAAAGGCGCGTGTGTGGGCTTCTCTGGTCTGGTCGCTGCAGCACGTCAGAGCCGAGATGAGGCCGGTCAGAAGCCTGCACGTGCCTGGGCCTCTGCGTCACTGGTGCTGGACCAGCCATCAAACCCTGCAAGCATAAAAACCGCAGCCACTTTACAAGGTCCAGATCACACCTGGACGTGACCACGGGCACACCGAAATCAAGTTCATGTGGCTGGTGCTCCCGCTGAGAGAACAAGGCGTGGTGGCCGCAGCCCATCAGGTGCAGACTTTCCCCCTGCCTTCCTGGCCCGAGACAGCACCTTCCCTGGCGAGGTCCTGGGAGCTTCTGAACATGAGGATGGAGTTATAAATCTTCAGGGCTGGACCCAGTTTGATCTTCATCACCTGGACAATGTCCTTCTGTGTCAGGAGCAGGAAGGCTTTGCCATCAATCTGCTGTAGATCAAAAAATCAGCACAAATAAACATATCCTGCTGTTCAAGTCTGGTTGCCCTCCAGGGTCCCCTGGGTGCTGAGCTGTGTGATGGGGACGCAGTGGCCTACCAGAGCTTGGGGACCACAGACCACGACGGCATCTTAGTCCGACCACTGTCAATTCTGTTTTCCCCAGAATGCTGAAGCTAAGTTAAATCAAAGAGGGGTTCATTCTGTTAAATGTGAACTCAGTGTACATGAACTGTCCCTAGGCTGAACTTCTGTTGTGACATTTTTAAAATTTTGGACTGAATTTGTATAAAGGGCCTTAACAATAACCCACTTTCATCTACCAAGTGAAGTCTCCAGAAATGTTTCCCATGAGAACAATGAACAATGAGGACGCGATGGTGTTATTTATGTCAGTGCAACACTGCAAACAACCGGGCACTCCAGAAACAGCAGAAGGAAATAAATTACAGTGTCACCTAGGATGAGGGACCAGGCAGTCACCAAAATTCATGTTACAATGAAATAGTTAATGATTTAGGAAAGTTTTCATGGATTGTTAAGCAACGAAACATGATCTGATGATACAGAAAGATCTGTTTTAATTTGTAAAATTAAATGTGCACGACCACTGTAAACATACACAGAGTTAAAATACTTGAAGTCTTTATACCAAATGTGAAGGGGTTTCGGCCAGTGGCTTGGTTTGGTTTTTGTTTTCTCCCTTTAACCCTCCTGTATTTAAAATGACTCCTATGCCAAACACCATTATAAGCAGAAGTACATTCAAAACGAATGCTTTATTTATTAACTTTTACAACATACTGTGGTCTGAAATGTCATGGCTTTCTCCTGAGGTCACGTGATGGCCAGTGCCACTGTGCAGGCCGTTTTTCCGGTTTCTAGAGGCCCCAGGGTGGCCTGTCCCACAGTCACGCTGCCTGTTTTCACAGATGGGCTCAGGAGGAGTCCAGGTTCCAGAACCAAGAGGACAGAATGAAGTTTGCTAGGGTGACACCCTTCCATGAACCCAGCCCTGTGGTTCTAACCCTTTTTAGTTAACAATACAAACCATGGTGTCAGTGTCTCCCTGAGGAAGGAGGGATCCCTGGGGACCCCACGTGTGGTGTTGAGAGCTTTAAAAGCTTCCATGTCTAATATATTGTCTGATGAAGAATCGTCCATCTAGAGAGTGCAATACCCTTCCCACGGGGTCACGAGCACATTCCCGCAGTGGTGGAGAGCGCCGCCCTACGGCCACACCCCAACCTTCAGAACTTCAGGCAAGACGCGGGCCAGGTGGCCGGTAGTCCTAAGAGCAAAGCAGTGATGGTTGTGATGGGAACAGTAAGCCTTTACGGAGCTTTACTAACCCTTCTCTGTGCTGATCCCACCAGCAACCCCGGGGGCAGATGAGGAAACCAACAGTTTCAAGGATTGTGTGGTTTCTCCGTGTCCCCCTAAGTAGGGGCAGGGCAGGGACAGGTAGGACGGTCCTAATTCCACTTTGGAGCAGACAAGCCCCCCTTTTCCTGGGTGCAGGCCCGTGGCAGGTCCCCTCTGCCCCAGTGTGGCTGCAGTCACAATGCAGGTATTAACCGAGTGACGTGTCCCAAGAGTCCCTTTCACAAGCGGCTGCAGAGATGAGGCTGCAGACTCCAGCGACAAAGCACAGCTCACGTCAGCGACCCAGACAGAGGCTGCCCCGCTGGGCCCCCTCCTGCCTGGACCTCTTTCTCTTGCCTCCCCCAAACTGCCCTTATTTACACTTAAGTAAACGGAAACACAGCACTTCCGGGCCTAGTCTTAGAGAAACATACGTAATGTTTCCATTTCCTACCTCTTTCTTGAAGCACTTGGCATGCTCTTCACAGCCCAGCAGAGACTGTACGAACTCAGCCACCTACAGCGCGAGATGAAAAGCCTGATTCAGAACGTGCACCGGAAGTAATACCTTGGGTTGTAGTCATTCAACATTTGAGTAAAATACACTTTGCATCCCTCAAACGCTTGGGATTTAAACAGTAGCCATCAAGCCCCAGTAGCATTCGCCAGCTCGGAAATGAGACCAGCTCCTACTATCTTTTCTGGCCTCATTTCCAGGCTGACCTACATAGGGTTACAGTCACCATGGTGCCAACGACAGCCTCCATCTGTGTGGAGCCCTGGCATCCTGGAACCTTCCATCGCCTGACCCTCCTGTGCAGCCTGGGGGGGTCAGGGAGGGCAGGCGGCAGTAGCCTGTGCACAGCAGTGATGACAGGCACCGTCTGCCTTTCCAGACCTGGGCCGTCCCGTCTCCCATACCTCAGCCTCCAGGGCCTCCCCCAGCGTCTGGCCAACAGTGGGTACTCGGACCTCCCTGCGGAGGGAATTCCCACAAAAATGATGAGGAAGCTGAAGCCCAAAGAGGTTTAATAACTTCCTGAAGGCCACACGTGGCCAGTGAGTGCCCCGGGGCAGCCCTTCTCCACCCTGGACATGCACTGGGACCACCTAGAGAGCTTTAAACACGATCGATCTCGGGCCAAGCTCATGCTGCAGAGATTCCGAATCAGTCGAGCTGGACCCGGTGGAGGGCTGGGCACGGATTCGATTCCCGGGTTGGTTCTAATGCGCACTCAGGGCCAAGGCCCTCCCCGCCCCCTGCCCCAGCGCGCGCTCTGAGGGCTGAATGCCCCGCAGGGACAGAGCCCCGATGGGGGCGGGAGGTGCCGAAGGTGAAACCCTTAACGTGGGGTCACAGGGGACAGCTGGGGGCGGAGACAACACGCTCAAGGGCAGGTCTCCTGCTCAGCGCGACTCCAGCTGGGCCTGATCCTTCGCTGTGCGGCTGCCCTGCGAACCGCAGGGTGTTTGGCGACATCCCCGCTAAGTGCCGGGAGCAGCCCCAGCGCGCACGATTGTGACAACGAAAAACCGAGTCCAGGTGCTGGCGACACCGCCTGGTAGGAGCCACCACGCTGAAGGAGGGCTCTGTCACAGGAGGGGGCCGCGGGTCACAGTAGGGGAAGTGAACATAGAAGAGTGGCTCTAGGAATTAGCTAAAGACACACGCTGGTGCCTCTCAATCACTGGCTCCCCTGGGGAAGCCATGCCAGCACCAGCGCCCCGGGATGCCCGGCCCCCGGGGACAGGGACACGCCCGACAGGCAGTCTCTTGTAAATCCATGCTCCAGGAACTTCTGTTCTCAAAACAGGGCTGAGTGTTGCTCTGATGGTTCTCAGAGGTTAAAGTGTCCTTTTCTGGGCAAACAAATACAAAGTAAAAAAAAAATGATCACGTTCCCTCTTCTTAGTGTTGTGAGCCAAGAAAGCACTGTCCATGGCAGAGGTAGATTGGATTTTAAGTGGGGATAAATAACGTGCTAAACCAAAGAGTACACAGGGCTGCGCTGCGGGGCAGGTCCTCGCTGTCTTCCTCGGACAGTTTCATTACCACATGTCTGAAATTCTCTGTCTTTTTGGAAGGAGATTCTGATTCTATTCAACCTGCCTTTTGCCAAAGTAAAGAACACGTTCCATGCAATCTACTGAGGCAGACTCTTCTGGCCCGGATCGTGACTTGGTATCATTATTCAGTACTGCCAGTCAAGATTTCTTCCCCCGAGAATAAATTCTAATTTGAGCTTCAGTAGAAAGCCCATTTGCCGCAGATGTCCTCCCTGTAAAGTGGTGAACGTCACCAGACCGCAGAGCAGTAACGGAAGGGTTCCCTCTCACGTGCCCCTTCAGTACGTGCTTCCTTCTTCACGTCGTGGTCAATGCAGAGAACCGTTCACACGGTTCCATGAGTCCACAGAGGGGGAAGCTGCCGGCCCCGTCCTTTGCCTCCACCCAGGACATCTGTGTGGACTCGGCTGCTTTCCCCAGGTGATGGCGGCCCTGCTGGAGCCCAGGGTGGCCGGCCTTGGCCTTGGCCTTGGCGGGGGCAGCACACCTGGTTCCCCAAGTTCTTGGGAGCACAGTGTCCACAGCAGACACCCCGGTTTTGTTTTGGAAGGACGTGGAGTAAGTTAGTTCCAGGGATGACACAGCAGTTTGGAAAGACTAAGAAATGAAACTCTGCAGGCTCTGAGCTGAGCCCTTTACTCCACCCAACTTCCTTCCCGGGCACCTCCTTTTCCTGGCATCCTCGTGCAGCCCAGCAGGCCTGCTTCCGTCAGTGCAGCTGCTGCTTCCTTAAATCTCTCCCGATGCCGACGTTCCCATCTTGCTGAGCCAGCGGCGGGTGCCTGACTGTCCTGGCTTCGGGTCCACTGGGGACCATGATTCCAGCCCGGGTCTCATTTCTTATCAGTAGAATTTGTTAGCTGCCCTTTTTCAGGGCCCGATTGTATAAGGCTGCTATGCTTAGGTAGCAGTACCCTGAATTTTTCAAAACACTCCCTCCTGGGCAAAGATTGCTTGGAAAGCGACCACCATCTTTTAGAGCTAATGGACATTTAATCTAGGGAGCCCTTGGATAAGGCCAGGGCGATCTATATGTGCTGCTTTAAAAGGCAGTTTTGAATGTAAGCAATAAAAGTACCCACATGGGCACCGAGCATCCCCGAGTTGCACCCGCGGCTGTAATGTGTGTACGTGTCGCACCCGGCCTGCGTGTGCCCATGGACGCCTGGCAGGAGGGGCTGCAGAAAATTCGTCTCCTAATTCATCCACTCACTCGCACATTTGTCACACACCTGCTCTGGTGTGCTTGCTATAAAGATGTAAAAAGATATAAAAATAATTTAGTCCCTACTCTCAGATGCTTGTACCCTTCTATAGAACATTTCCATGACCAGAGTAAGAAATATGCTCCCCAGGGACCACAGCTTGAGTGTGTGCACACTCACACATTCCTAACGAAGGTTTCACAGAACAGTAACCTCTACTACAATGATGTACTCGCATCTGGTCTTGTCTCTCCTTTTGGAACCACCGAACTAACTTCACAGCGTGCCGGTGCTCTGAAAGAAATTGCTCTGGCAGAAACACCACAGAAACAGCAAAGGAGTTAAAAGCCAGCCCCCGCCTCTGGGCAACGTGACAAAGGTCCGTCAGGTAACACAACTTGGAGCGGAGGTCTCCTCCCAGCCAGGACGGCTGACAAGAGGGACTCTCCTTGTGCTGCATCTCCTGCCAGAGACCGTTACCCGCCTTAAGTGTCCCTGGATGGCACTTAGCACAAGGACCCACAAGTCATTTTCCACACGCCCTGTCCATGGCCCCTGAGCTCCCGTTCCTGCCCGGTGGGAACAAAGCACAAAGGCACAGCGCCGCCCTGCTCGCCCTGAACTGCCTTCTCACGTCCTCACGACCCGACTCGCCACTCTTAATGCAGCATCTGGAGCAGACACAGTGGCCCCTGTGGCTGGTACTCGCTGGGATCCCCCCTAGGGAGCCCCCTTATTTTCAACGATACAAACGCATCACAACGCCCACACTTTGACCACTCAAAGTTTCTTCTCGAGGACCAGTTTTTGTGCCAGGAAATGTGCTACAGAATGTGAGAATACAGAGAGAAATTTAGGATGTGGTCCTCGTCCTCAAGGGTATCTAATTAGGGAGCTATCAAGACAAAGGTACATCAGCGTCAGGGAGTAACCCGGACTGTTTTCTCTGGGATGCATCCCGTGGGCAGCCATGGTCAACAAAGTGCTCCAGGTAGCCAGCCTCTCCGATGGCTGCTTCAGTTTTAATCTAGAAAATGTCTAAGGTCACCTTCGGCAGTAGAAGGCTGGGATCCCGTGTGTACCCATCCCAGAGAACTCAGAACTGTGATCGCAGCTTGCTGATCCTCCTCCGTGGCCTCTTCGGTCCTCCCCGCCCCCTAGTGAGTCTCTTCCTTCTGAGGCCCCGCCCCATCCTAATGATGGACCAGCTATTTCCCTTTAATCACCCTCCAAACTTCACTTCGTTCAGTGTCAGACTTGAAACTGGTCAGATCAGAGGCCCCACCCCCGAATTTCCTATTTATTCCCGAATGTTCCTAAATAGTGATCCCTGCTCCTTTGGGGTGATGCCCCCCCCCACCCCCCAAGAAGTTAATAAAAGCTGTGGCCCTCTTCTTATGGGGAAAACCACACATTCTGTACACAATTTTCCCTAGCCCTAGCCGGGAACCCTGTGACCTGGGACGCTCGCTTCCGGCCTCCCCCCAGCTTCTCGCCCTTCCTCCTGCACTTCCTCTGTGGACCCACCGGCCTCCATCCCTGGCCGTGCTCTCTGGGGATCGTGCCTGGTGAAGCCCTGTCTCGTGTAACCTGAGGGGACCCTAACTCAGAAGGTCCCAGAATAAATTCATCATCTTATCCCTTGGCCCCCCCCAAACTGGATCCTGTCCCCGGAGTTCCATTTTTTGACGGCACCACGGCATCCAATGAAGCGTTCGGGCCTTGTAGTTCTCACACGTCATTATCCTAATTAAGTACCAAACTGCGTAGCGCTGAGAGTATAAATGGAACCACGCTGGCTCATTTCATCTCCTCGTCTTGTGCCTCATCTATTTCCTGTGCTGTGGCTTCATCTGCTGAGCCCGGGTGGCTCTGGACAGTGGCGCCCAGCCCGGCCCCTTCTTACTCTCACCCTCCTTGCTGGCCTGTGCTGTTTTCATCTCCCTGAAGCACCAGCTTCACAACATGACTTTCTGCCTTAGGGCCTAAGAACCTGGCATTGCCTGACGGGTGCGCCTGGCCCATCTCCCGCCTGCCGCAGGCCGCCTTCCCCAAGCCCCAGTGGGCAGTGTGCTTGGGGTGCGGTGAGACGTCGGCTCAGGACCTGGCTCTGACCGTGTGGCCTTAAGAGTTTCCTTAGTCTCCGGTGCCTCCACTTCCCTGTCTGTAAAATGGGCAAAATAAGCGTGCGTGCCCCACTATCATTACATCAACACTGTTCACTACCATCATTAATGTCACACGTGTAAGGGACACGTGTGTGTCTGTCATCCTTGCACGTGTCACAGTCACCCCCACTTCTATAGCTTTCCTCCCCCGCATGGCGTCCCGTCTTTTCTCTGCTTGGACTGATTGCACTTTTCTTTCAAAATCCAGCTCAGATGCCCTTGCCATTCACTCAACAAACACTTACTGGGTGATCTACTCAGTGCCAGGCGCAGTGAGAAGCTCTCAGGACACAGGCCGAGTGAGTAAGGTCTACGCTCATGTGCTTGAGGTTCAGGGTCAGCAGAGTGAGCATCCGAGGTGCAGCCACAGCGACTCTCGGAGGAAACGGGGGCCCCGAGGGACGTGGGAGCAGCCTGAGGGCTCCTGCAGGAGGAGAGCCTGCACTGGGCAGGGGCTGGGCAGTGACCGTGCACATGTGACAACAGTACACAGGGACCAGGGAGGCGCAGGGCGAGGAGCCCAAGGTCAGGGGCGGGCGGACAGCCAGGCAGGTCCTGCGGGCTCGTCTGGGTACAGGATGCTGTGCAGAGCTCGCCCTGCTGTGCCCACTCCCTCTCCGTTGGGGTGCAGTCACTCTGCACACGTGGGGCTGGGCTGGACGTCTGAGCAGGACAGTGACACGCCAGGGGCCAGGAGCGCAGGAAGAAGAGGGCAGAGGGGCCACTGTCATCTAACTTAACCGGTGCAGAACCTCAGATGAGTGGCTTGAAGGTCAAAAGAGAGAGAGACTGCCCTTGAGCCCTGGGTTGTAATTTCAAGGGCAAAGCCAGCAGTGTTTTGATTACAGCCACAATAGGTTTTCATTCAGTCGGCTTTGTAAACTGGTAAAAGTTCACAGATGGGCAGGCGCAGACCATGAATACTCTCTAGGGAGCAGGGTCACATTTAGTCACCCCCCCCCCGAAACAACCCCGCAGCACCTGGCATGTCCAGTCACCTCTCTGTCCTGCGGGACCCACAGGGCCTTGTAAGACGAGGGGCCAGGCGGGCAGGCAGGGTGTGCTGGGCCCCGTCCACGCCGAGGGTGCCAGGTGGGGGGAACCCACCAGGCACACTCTGAGCTGCCTGGGAGGAGGGGCGGAGGCCTCCCGGACCTCTGACCTCTGCAGGGCCTTAGTCGCCTGCTCCTTTTCTGGGGTTGGAAAGGAAGCCCCTGAGCGAGATGGAGTCCAGGTGACTTGACTGCTGGACATGCTCAGTGAGTATCCGTGACTAGTTTAACTGCAGCTCTACTCTGTCTTGTCAAAAGAGTGACCCAGGCTTTTCTTTCATTAAAAAAAAACCCAAAAACTTAAGGCCTGATGAGTGAGAACAATACCTTCATCAAAAGGAATATCAGTCAGAGTGTGTTGCTTTAAGTATGAAGCGTTTCCACAGCATCACAGGAAACAACGGCACTTACCTGATTCTTACGTAAAACCAACATTGTAAGGTGTGTTTATATTACAATCAAATCCACTTTCCCCTCTGTTCCGCATCTTATGCAACATTGTGACCTAATTTATTAAAAAACCTGAGGTTGACCTGATCCCCCGTGGCCACGGATGGACACACGGCAGCGCAGTGCTGCCTCGGCGTGAGAATATGGGATCCCGGGGCCCTGGGGGCACCAGGCAGAGGGAGCCCCTTGGGCACAGAGCATGCGGCGCGGGGGGTCATCGCCCGGGGCTGCCAGGACACAGGCATGGAGGCCCACACGTTCGTGTTTCCTCAGAGCAAACCTCTGATGCGGCGCTGGAGGCCTAAGTCAGCACCCCACCCCGGGGGCCGGGCAGTGGAGACGGCGCTGGGAGAAGGCTGGGGAGGGCAGGGCCCCACTAAGGGGCTTCCTGAACGTCCTGAGCGTCAGCCTGCTTCTCCCTCAAGCGTGGATCTGGAATTTGGCACGTGGACTCGGCACCTAAGAGAAACCCCGGCCCCGGGCAGCCGCTCACCTCATCCACCGTCCACCGGGCCACCTTGCCAGCCTGCACGTCGGCCACGCCGGGGAGCAGCTTGAGGTGCTGTTCGCGGCCCAGGGGAAGGTCCCGGAAAGGCTGGGCGATCGAGGACGACATGAAGACCGACTGGTGCAGGGCCCGCTGCGTCCGCGCGGCCAAGTGCTCTGCAAGACAGGCAGGTGGGTGAGGGGGGCAGCATCCTGGTGGCCCCTCCCCGGCGAGGGCCCGAGTCAGACCCCCTGGAACCCTGGACGAACCTTGGACAGACGGCATCACGGCCCAGGAGGCCCTCCCCAGCACAGCGACACCGCTGCTCTATTTCAAAACCACAGTCAGGAGAAACAGGAGTTATGAAGGCCCGAGACTGTGGCCGTTTGCTAAGCAGGATCGAATCATCTTTGTGACCCACTGATGCCAGCGAGGAGCCGGCCTGTCACTGCACTGGCCTCTCTCTCCCTGAGTCCGGAGTGAGAGCAGGCCCAGAGCCCCGCTGGACGTGGCTCTAAGTGGACGGGCACACCGGCCACCAGGGATGTGCCCGCCCACGAAGCCCGGTTCCCTCCTGGAAGCCGCTGCCTGCGTCACAATGGGCCCAGGTCCACATCTGGCTTCAGGGGTCCCCTGGGGGACACCGTATGTGGAATGCAGCTCAGGATCCCAGGAGAACCTAGGTGACAGCTGCTACTGTTGGTCTCTTCAGGACACGCTGGCCTTGCAGGGATTGGGGAAGAGGCTGCAGCTGAGAGCTGGGTGCCCCCACCCCGCCCAAGCCCTCCTAACTGGGCCCTCCCTCGGGAGCAAAGCTCTGAGTGGCCAGGGTCCTAAGGCTCCAAGGGCACTGGCCGGTGTCTCCAAGGAGTCAGACTCCACTTCCGCCCACACTCCTCCCTAGCCTTTCTGAACTAGTTTTCCACCTTCAAGAGGGACTTTAATCTGCTGTTATATCCTGACATTTAGATGGAGCCATGGATCTCAATCCCCTCGTTATTCTGCTTTGAGTGTACAAATGGGTAAGGACAAAACCACTACCGAGATTCTATAGAAAATTCATGCCTTTATAATGACATCTTTTAAGATACTTTCAACACACATTAGCCGAATAAAGCTGTTGATATTTTAAGACTTTGAAAGGAAAGACCACAAAAGGAAATGTTCTACGCCCTCTAAAAGTCTACCTTTCCTAATGCAAATGGCAGGGTAAGTAAGCAGTAGCTATATCACTTAAAGTCTATTATGAAGGCTTGTGTTTTACTGACCATGTCTGAAGAGCTATTATGCAAGTATTTCCATCTCAAATTAATTAACAGTTGTTAGTAGGTGAGGCTGTCCTGCACTTTGCACATTCACATAATCGCCTACTGGTTAGTGACCAGAGAGGTTCTAAAGTACAAGGGAGCCTGTCCATCTCTGCCCGACTGCTGAGCACAGACATCCTGCATCTTTACCCCCATGTGCGGTCCACACAGATAAACAGACGGAAAAATTGCGGCCTTCTCCCAAATTCTTCTGCTCCAGTTGCAGGCAGCAGCAAATTCATCTCTCAACGCGGATTGTCCGACACTGACCTTTTTAGTATGTAAATAGGTTATCTCCTCCGTGTAGTTCAGCCAGCAGCACGTAAGGCTGAAACTTCACATCATCTTCACAAAGCCAGTAGGTTTACAGATGTGAATGAATGTTCCTTAATGAAGGTGTCAGGTTGGACAGGAGCAGGTACAAATCAAGCCCTGGAAACCCAGGGAGGAAGCGTCACAGAGCATCTGCAGCTCCAGCCACGCAGAATCGCCAGGCGCTCCATGGAAGCCAGGAGTTAGAGCTCTGTGCTCTCAGGGATTAAGACCTGAAGCAACGCCGGGCTTTATTCTGGAAAAGTGCCACATCCATCAGTTGGTTGCTTTTGCTGAAATGGCATGGGCTTAAAAGACAAATCACATACGTGTCCCAAACCCATGCCCTAGGTAACCGATCACGTGTAGTTTCTGAAACATACAGGACTCTGAAAAGCCACGAGGAATCAGTCTTATGTTTGGGAGGCACGAAGATGTCTAGTGATGGTGATTGCGTTCCTGCGTGTGATTCACAAATAAGGGCTGAGGGCCTCCGAAATGCAAAAAAAAACCCGTGCTCCCAAGCAAGGGAATTTCCCACACAGTAATTTTGGAAGCAGATTGCCTGAGTGCTGAGGCAGCCACTTGGAAATGAGCCCAAGGTGCGGTTGGCAGCTCCACCGAATGGCACTGGGTTCCTCCGTCCGCTGCTGCGCATGGCTCCGGCCCCGTAGGACGGGGACCCAGTTCTAGTAGCAAGATGGCCTTCTCTACGTATAGTATCCTGTCATCTGCAAACAGTGACACCTTTACTTCTTTTCCAATTTGGATTCCTTTTATTTCCTTTTCTTCTCTGATTGCTGTGGCTAAAACTTCCAAAACTACGTTGAATAAGAGTGGTGAGAGTGGGCAACCTTGTCTCGTTCCTGACCTTAGTGGAGATGCTTTCAGTTTTTCACCATTGAGGACGATGTTGGCTGTGGGTTTGTCATATATGGCCTTTATTATGTTGAGGACAGTTCCCTCTATGCCTACTTTCTGCAGGGTTTTTATCATAAATGGGTGTTGAATTTTGTCGAAAGCTTTCTCTGCATCTATTGAGATGATCATATGGTTTTTCTCCTTCAATTTGATAATACGGTGTATCACGTTGATTGATTTGCGTATATTGAAGAATCCCTGCCTTCCTGGGATAAACCCCACTCGATCATGGTGTATGATCCTTTTAATGTGCTGTTGGATTCTGTTTGCTAGTATTTTGTTGAGGATTTTTGCATCTATGTTCATCAGTGATATTGGCCTGTAGTTTTCTTTCTTTGTGACATCCGGGAAGAGATTTGGGAACATACGTATATGTATAACTGACTCACTTTGTTATAGAGCAGAAACTAACACACCATTGTAAAGCAATTATACTCCAATAAAGATGTTAAAAAAAAAAAAAAAAAAAGATGGCCTTGAGGTCACCACTCAAGGCAGGGAGGGAGCCGGCTCGGTGCCCGTGCACTTGCGCTCAGGTGGCTTTATTCTCTCAGTGGCTTTGGAATTCGTTCTTTGTCCCCATTAAGTCAATCTATTTGTTTGGAGGCAGGTGGAGGCTGGATTTCCGGAAGGCTGAGCAGAGCTTGGTGGGGATCAGGCTCTGGGTGCCAGAGTGCCCCGCCCCCACCGGCTGGGTGTGATCCCCTCCTGGGGGAGGGCTCTTGCCTGTGTGCCGGCAGCCCCAGTTTGGGGGAGCCCCACCAGAACTACTCACATGCTGACCACGGATAACATTTTTACTACTCTCAGCTTTACAGCGTGAGTTGGAAAGCCGGGAAGTTGAGTTTTCCTGCTCTAAAAGACGCGAGTTAGGTTAGGGAGGGAGGCCCTGAGCGGGGAGCTTGCAATAACCAGCTGTCATTGCTACGACACGACTGGAGGTGACAATACCTACAGCGCAGAGCTGCTGGGAGGGGACGACAATGTGCCTTCAGTGACAGGTGCCACATTAAGCTCCTGAGGTCAGGCCGACACTCTATGCACGGAAGTGGCTTTATTCAAAATCAACACAATGCAAGACAAATTCTCCATAGTAACACGAGAGAGGGGAGGCATTTTGGAGTGTTTTGTGGTGGTTGTTTTGCCTTCTTTGTACCATTTCCTGGGTCTGATTTCTTCCGGAGCTGAGGGTTTGGGGTGGATACTCAGTCTACCTGGGAGAGGACGGTGACGTCGGGGGGAAGGGCCGATCCCCGCCAGCTTGCCTGGGTATGAATCCTGGTCCCATGCAGCTGCTGAGTGACCTTGGATGAGATGCTTAACTCTTCTGTATCAAGGTTTTCCATCTTTAAAATGGGGTAGTTGCAGTACTCACACTTCACTGAGTTCTTGGGATTAGAACGGCTCCCAGCACATAAGTGTTCAGTGCACATCAGACATTACACGACAGCCGTCCCCCCTTCTCTGTGGGGTAGATGTTCCAAGACTCCCAGTGGATGCCTGAAAGCCAGGATACTACCACACTCTACATATACTATGTTTTTTCCCTGTACATACATACCTATGATAAAGTTTAATTTATAAATTAGGCACAGTAAGAGATTAACAACAATAAGTGATAGTAAAATACAATTATAAAAATATACTGTAATAAAAGTTTTGTAAATGCAGTTTCGCTCAAAATACCATATTGTACAAATTTAGTGCCTTTCCCATCTTAACTAAGCTCATCATGCACTGTGGGTATAACTTTTGCAGCTTGAGGTGCGAGAGTAAAACTAGCACAAATTTCTTTTCTTCACAGTTTCATGGAGAGAAAATTCGTTCTTACCAGAGATCTTAGCAACCTCAGCATACGATCTTTTTTCTTTCCTTACTAAGTTGAGAACTTTAACCTTTTCACTTAAAGGAAGCACTTTATGATTTCTCTCTGGCACACCCCAATTGCCAGCATCACCATCTTGTGCTTTGGGGCCACTGTTAAGTAAAGTAAGGGTCACTTGAACACAAGCACTTCGATAACATGATAGTAGATCCATAAGTGAGACAGATACCAAGTGGCCAAAGGGTGGGACAAAGGGATGATTCTTGTCCCCAGTGGGAGCAGGATGGTGGGAGATTTCAACACCCTACTCAGAAGAGCACCCAATTAAAAACGTATGAATTGTTTCTTTCTGGAATTTTCCATGTACTATTTTTGGACCACAGTCGACCACAGGTAACTGAAACCATGGATAGCAAAAACACGGCTGAGGAGGGACCACTGTACCGTTACAAGGTAGATACAGAGATACTCTTAAGTTGTGACAGTAGTGAAGGTGGGGACTTAGATTTCCAAAGCCATTGTGGCTGGATGTACCTAAAACCTACGGAAGCGGAAATTCAGACTGAAACTCAGGATCCTCAGGGCCACATTCAGATCTCACACCCAAGTGGCCCTGGAATGACACTGCAGGGGTCACCAAAGTCATCTGTGGAGTCCTGGTATGCATGGATCCCCTGGCTGAGGCCGACGGAAGGCGGGCGTCTGTCTCCCAGGCAAACCGGTGCCCACGTGTGGCAACAGATCATGCTGCGAACACACGCTCAGCCTGCCAGCTTTGAAATTATGTGGCTCTTGACAGACTTTAGAATGT